TTGTGTTACTCCCATCCGTGTGTACAAACATCAAGAATTTGTACTGAGCGAAACAGGCAAAATTCTTGAAAAGACCATTGTTAAAATTCAGTAACAACAACAACAGATTTCTGTAATGTGTGTAATTCTCATATATCCCAGAATCTGTATATAGGGTTTAAGTTGGAAGAAAAAAAGAGCATGAAGTTGGAATAATTGGTCCTAATTTAATAGCCCCTTTTCAATGCTAGAGTCATGCAGAACTAATAAAGGGAGGGTGAGAGCCATGCCTGGGTTGGCTGCATGAATGCTAAAGGTAGTTTAGTTAAAACTTTTAAATTAGTTTAATAAATAGTTAATCCAGAGTAGCAGAAATGGTCAAAAGAACATAGTGCTAGTGCAGGTAAACTACATCATGACACTGTGATCCAACTCAGTGGAATTCAGCTGCAAATTAAGGCACCTGCATTTAGGTAGCTGCATATGTGAGAACTTTCAAGTGGTCTTGGGAATCTCTGGGGGTGATTCAGAGTGATTTGCCCTAGAGCCTACACTCAGCTTGTGATTTAGCCTAAATGTGGATAGCAATGCGCTTGTCCATGCCATCACCTCCATTTTTTGGTCCAGGTGGGTGCAGATCATCTGTAGGCTGGGTGATTTATCACATTTACCAGTCTCATATGGGTATATTAGATACCTAACTATGACTCAAAGGGCTCTAATTATGTTTCAGGAGTGGATCAGGGCTTTAATTAGTGGTCAACCAAATTACTGACTGCATTGAGCAGATGTCCACTGACCAGAATGGAAATTTTAGTACATTTGTTAGGTGTCCCAGCACTGAGCCAAATTCCTCAGCAGCCAAATTCTGCTGGGAGTGTAAAACAGAAATTAAAAAAAAAAAAACCACCAGCAAAAATTGTCAAGAATTATTTAAAGTTCTGAATCACTAATCAAAATCTTTAGCAAGGCAGGCCAGGCTATTCCTGGAATGTTGTTTCATATTTGGATGAGCATCATTTAGCATTTAAGTAGTGGGGTAATATGAAAATTGCAAAGCACATTCAGACAACATGGTTCTGTCTGCCTGCAGATGCCTTCGGCCGTGCTGCGGCTGGGCGTCCCTTGAGCAGGTTAGGAGCATGGGCCTGTGTTCGTCCTGTGTATTGCTTTGTAAATGCTGTTTATCTTTCTAGTACAAGATTGAATACTCGCAGCTGGGAAGTCGGCAGCTTCAGATATCTGTGTGGCATGCAGGAGCGCTCAAACACAGGGTGTTTTTGGGGGAAGTGGTGATCCCACTGGCAGCATGGAATTTTGAGGATAACTCGATGCAGTTGTTCAACTGGTACCAGCTCAGACCCAAGGTGATTATTTGTTTTTGTGCTTAGCTGTATCTTAAGAGCAGGATGTAGTGGAAGCTATGGAAAAAGATCATCCTCCTGAGGTCATTGAGGGAAAAATGCTGTCAATCCAGTCCATTAGTAAGATGTGTTGGAAACATAAACAAGCTGTGAGAACAACATGGACTAGAATGATTGCAGTAATGCCAATTTCTGTATTTCCCTTTCTTCAGCTGGAAAAGCCTGAAGATGATCTTATCCAGTACAGTGGTGAACTTCTCGTGTCTGCAAGGCTGTCAGTACCAGCCCAGTATACAAATTTCCAGTCTGAAGGTATGAAACACTTCAGCATACATTAATACCTTGGCTAGAAAAGAATTGAGAGCCGTGAAGAGCTGACAATGCATCCACATAATATTCCTGTATGGCATTCATAACAGCTGCTGCAAATGGTGGTTTGTGATGTATTGTGTTTTAAATTAATTAATTAAAATCCAAATGCCAACAAAAGCTGCACATTATAATGGCAGCAGTATGGTGCATCCAGCTGTTTGGCTGGACAGCCTGTGCCTGTCATAGTGTTGCTAGTAGACCTTATTCTGGAGGTGACAGCGCAGTTTTACAGCCCAAGGTAGAGAATGCCAGTTAAGGGAGAAAGTGGAAAGGAAATGGCTGCAAGGGTACCAGACCAGCACCCTTGGCTTCCTTCAGAGGTCTCATTTTAGAGAGATTGCTTCACTTGGAAGATGCTAGGTTCAAAATGTACAGTTAGGATTCAGTTTTTGGTAATGAAAGACTTGTAGGGTACATTAGGCACTGCTGCAGTGGGTCAGAGCAAGCATGTGCTGGTGGAGTGAAATACTTTTGAGGTTTTCCTATCCCTCCCCTTTTCCTTACCTCCCTAGATCGTAGAGAGGTATGTGGATGTTCAGAGCTCTAGTAGTGCTCTCTGTGTTCAGGATCATAGCAACAGGTAGAGACCAATAGAAAGATCTAATTAGCTGCTACGTTAATTTTATTCCCTTTTATTTTCTAGATGATCCCAAAGTAACCAGCTTCCTTTCTTCTGTTTTTCCTCCCTATCCATGCCTGTGTGCTGGGTCTCTGCTCTGTAACTAGAGCTGTAACAGAGGAGCGGTATCACACCGTAGGTTTGGCTCTTTCTCCTGCTGCTGGTTTTGTTTCCTGTGGGTACTGCCCTGTGTTTACTTTTCACAAATACAACAGAAAGCTCTGTGTTTGGAACAGGAATCACAAAGCAACCTGCTACTCATTGCTTGCTTTTTTGTGTGTGTGTATCACACACTGTGCGATTAAAAGTTAAAAGTTAAAATCTTTCAAATGATCTACAAGTCCTTATAGCAGTAGTATCGCTTAGTCATTTTCCTATTTAGTTATAGCAGCATCTTAGGCTACAGCTGAACTAACTGGTTATTTAATGTGATAAATGCTCTTGTTTCAGGAAAAAAAGGCCAAGGAGTTCCTAACTGCCAGCTTCAGGTTATGATATTTGGGGGCAAGAACTTGCCCATGCTGAGATCTGCTGGAACGCTGAACTCACTTGTTAAAGGGTACGTATGAGACCTAACACTTCAAATAGAAAATCTCACACACATTCTGTGCAAAGGTATGCACTAACGCATTTTCATCAGGAGACTGGCATGTGAAAGTGGTATTGTCTATGCTCTTAAACTGACTTCCTTGTAATGATGACATGTGGGTATCTGCACAACGGCAACTCTCAGCAGGGTGGGAACGGGTCCCACCTGCTCTTTGGGTCCTGAATGGAACTTCAGAATTTACATGTCATTAAAATTTAGAGTTCACTAGTTTAAGTATCTGCTTCTAGATATTAGGAGAGGGGAAATGCAAATTAAGAGGGTACTTTCATTCCTATTTTAGCTTTGCCTTTGCAGAATTTAATATAGCTTTGGATACATTGAAAAGGAAACTTTTATCCTCTTCATTCTAGACATTTGAAAAGAAAAGGGACTGAATTTTTCTTCAATGCGCTGAGTAGTTTCTATGTGAGATCATATTACTTTCTTACTGTAAGGCATCAGATGCTGTAGGTAGTCTGATACTGAGGTACACGTATCCCATAAAGCCATTTCACCTGCTGTAGCACCTATCTTCAGTGAAATGGGTGAGCATTTTATTTACTGAAAGGCAGGTTTCAGGCAGTATTGGATAGCAGAACAGGGAGTAAAGACTCCCTTGACAGTCAGTGACAGCAAAGGGAAAGCAGATCAGCAGAGCCTACTTGTACCCACACTGAAGGCAGACAGGAAAAGGAGCAAGTCCCAAAGTAAGCACACTGGAACTATGTTCTACCTTGCACTTAAGCTGAACTTTTTTGCTATTTAAGGCAAGCCAAAAGGCCCTAGCTGATAATTGCAAATGTTCCGTTTTCTGGTTGAGAAATCAGTAACTTTTTGTACTCTCATTGTTTTTGGGAAGTTGTCTTATCCTTCCAGACCAAGAGGTAAGGCGAAAGTCTCCAGTCCTGAAGAAAGAAGCCTGTCCCCAGTGGAAACATTTGTTTGTCTTTGACGATGTTAGCCCAGCTCAGCTACAGCAATCATGCCTACACTTGACTGTCTGGGACCAGTCAGCTTGCAGCTCAAATGATCAGTTCCTAGGAGGGGCCAAGCTTGGTGCAAGTAAGTTTTTTATCACTAAAAATTGAAGGTAATTGCGGAAAAAGTTCATTTAGTTTACATTCTGAATAGCACTGGTTACACTATGCTATTTATTACCTGCTGGCATATGCCTAAACCTACAGCACTAGCCCTGTCCGAAGCAACTTGCAATCTTGGGCTTTGATCCTGCAAGAACCAATGCATGTGTTTTAGTTCAGGTCTGCGCAAAAGCTCAGGGGTGTCAGGGAATTTTCAGGAAAGCCATTTGTTAGCATGGTAACTTTTAGGGCCAGACTCTGGCCATGCTAAGATAGGCACAGAAAAGTTGGGTTGAGTCAACTCATCTTGAGGTTTGTTTTGGTTTCTTTCAGTCTCATTCCTTGAGCTGTTTTTCTATGAATTGGCTACTTCTAACTACTATCTCATCAAAAAGCAGCACAAGAACTGTTGATCTAGTGGACTCCAGCCTTGCTTATATTTGTGCTTGTTATTTTACATCCACAAATCAATCTAATTGGTGGAAGATACAGAAAGAAAAACTTGCTCAGAGGCCTGTTGCATGTCTGAGTTTGGGGCTCTACTCTTACACAGGAGTGAGCCTTCTTTCTCAAACTTGAGAAACCCTCTGCTCACTGAATAGGCCCTGTGCAACTGGTAGTTAAGCAAGGAAGTGGTGTCACTTGAAGTCTGCCCCGTGGAGTGCCTCACCCCTGTCTTCTCAGACAGTAAGTGCTTTGGTTTCAGTATCTGAGATGAAAGGCTCAGAAACTGAGGCTCTGGTTTTTGTTTATGATATCAACATGCATTTCAGAGATGTATTATCATTAGTAATAACTCAGTGCTGTGCAGGCTTCCTTGTGATCTTCTTTTGATTGTTCTACCCAGCATTTTTCTTTCTGTCAGAGCAGGGACTGATTCCAAGTGAAAACTATCCAAGCCCTGAGCCTGGTATTAAAGTCATTGGAGAGGAACTGTAGCAGGAGCCTTTGTGCCATTCTGCCATTTTTAGTGTGCACACTCGCTCCTCTGCTTTTAAGTCATACAACTGAAAAATTATTTGCTGCATGCTGTGACAGTGATTTTAGTTTAACAGGATGTAAACGATGCTTCAAAAGTATAACTACAGTTTATTGCAATTAATGCCTTAGAGGCTACAGAACAGCTGAAATTGCTATGGATGTGGGAGCAGCAGCTTGGTTGTTATCCAGTCAATTGGGACAAACATTGGGCAAGGCCAAGTGAAAAGTAACCTGTGACCTTTCCTTTTGCTTTCTTGCAGAGGAATCCTTTGGCTCTACAGCCCCTGTTCCTCAGTCAGTGCTCCAATGGCAGGAAGTGCTCCACAGCCCAAACATGTGGATGGACTTCACACTTGTGCTGCATTCAAATAAGGAAAACTTCAAATCATGAGAGATTACTGCACAACAACTTTTCCTTTCCCCGTGTCTGATGTTTAAATTTGAGCAGTACATACCTTTCTGGTCTGGGGAAGGGTATGCTGCGTCACTACCTACTCCAGCGTTTGGGGAAGAGACCTATGCATTTGAAAGTGTGTGATGTTCTGAAGGTTTTATTTCTTCAAAAGTTAAGGCTCTGTTATTTGTGTCTCTAGCTGGGGTTTAAGGTTTTATTGTTTCTTCAGGAGTGACAAATCATTTTGAATTGAGTTATGCTGCCAAGGCAACAGTAGGCAGATCATATGCAGTTGTCCAGTTTTGGGTGCAGCAGAATTGTAATGATTTAATTTAATCACAGACAGGAATAATTCTTAGAGAAAATAACTGTTACCTTAAGGAAGTTATATGCTTTCACTCTGATCTTTGTTTTGAACATGTTCAGAGAGATCTGAAAACTACCTGCTTGCTGCAGGTGGATGATGCTCACATCTCTGTGCTTCAGAACTATCTACAGGGCCAGTATTACTTCACATGACCCTAAAAAGCTCTGGCCTATGGAGACATGCCTTTCAAATGAATGCTCTGTCATGGTGCTTAAAACCAGTTATATGTATAACTTCTCCCTCAGTAGGAGGGTGGGACAGTAGGTAATAGAGTAAGTGTGGCTGGAGGAAGTTCCTTGTTCTTATCAGCTGTCAAAGTAAAATGTTATTAACAAGTCTGATCCCTATGGTACATAGCACAGGACGAAGAGTTTAGCTAAGGTTATGCATGTGAACTGGTGGAAAAGCAAGCTTAAGGCTCAACTACTGTGTCAGTTCACTTTGCCTCAAATGTAGTGTTACGGTTATATATATGTATGAAGTTTCTGCTGACTGTAAGTAGTGCTGCTGCTATATACCTCTTCCCTGGCACTTGGGTAGAGATGGGCACACTTAATCATTACAGCAAGTATTCTCCTTTCTTCCTTACTAGGTCAAGGTGGCTTTTAAGGACTTAAGATTTAAAGACACAGGGAGTCATGGGGTAAGCTCGGGAACTGAAACAGAGCAGTAGCACACCTCAGACAAAATACACCCCACACAAGAAACACTTGACTCCAAGTCCTTTGTTACTTTGCAGATCTTTTATTTAGATGTTTGCTGCTGCAAATACAAAAAAAACCCACACAAGATTCAACTCAAGTATAAAGCAGCACAGATGTTGTAAATGGAAGAGAAGAGCTGACAACATACTGTATCTCACTTTCTAACAGATTTTCAAGGGAAGGGGGAGAGTGGTGGGGAAGGAATGGTCACAGAAATGCTCTCCACTAGAGAGAATACAACTGTGATATAAACAAGCAGTCCCTTCATCTTTGGAGTCTGAAACTTTAAATCAAACATTTAAAAAAATTAGAAAATTTGTTAGAAAAATAGGTGCAGTAAAATTGTATATGTTGGATCATGTGTACATATAACAATTTCCATTAAGTAAAAAAATGATCTTTACAAATAATGCTTTATAGCAAATAATCAGCTGCACTGTATCAGACTACAGTGTTGTTCAGGCATTTTTACAGATGCAAGTCTTATTAAATCTGAAAAGTAACAAAATATACAGAGCAAAACTATTTCCCTTTAAACTAGTATTGCAAATCCACATATTGCATGTTTATATATATT